ACATAACACCTCCTGATTTTCATCTCATTATGTTAATAAATTGTTTTCCTACCATTAGAGATGGTAAACAGACTTAAATATCTCCTCACATGAGGGAAAGTCAAGTCAGTCCCTGGAACAACAGGAGAGCTGCGACTTTGTGTAGATTTTTATGCTTTAACAACAAAATTTCCGTTATTTTGTTTTATAGATCAATGTGTGTCACGGTAACCAGCTTATTTTAAGTTAATTTTATGGCTGATATGCCGTTAAACAATTTGGTTATTAGATAGCATACAGAAATCTGATTGTTTAACAGCTAATGATATAAACCTCATTGGAATTTTCCCAAAATAAAATAAAGTCCTTTAGAGGGTTTTTTTGGAGGATGACAAGCAAGAGTCTAGGAAGCTGGAGAAAAATCTGAAGGAAAGTTTTACTCATCAACTTTTTTTTTTTTTTTTTTGCTAAATATTAAGACATCAATCATCTGTGAATTCTGCCAATAATGCTAAACATTAAAACATGTTAAAATAACATAAACATAGTAAAAGAAAATACTATAGTGTTTTAACCATATTATAGAGTAGCTATAGGCTTACTGCATGTATTTAGTCTCTCTTTGTTAATAAATGCTGCAGCATATTAAATATCATGAATCATGTCATATCTATTTCATAACCCAGAAAAAGGATGTGATTTTATATTTTATATACTTATCAATATATTTGTATTTATTTATTTATTTATTTATTTATTAAAATTTTCTACTGAAATTAGATTTTACAAATAAAGCTGCTCTACCACTCCAAATAAGTAAGTATAAGTATATACTCTACCACTCCAAATAAGTAATCCATCATGTTGTATCCATCATGCTGTAATCCATCAGGTTGTCATCATGTTTATTAGTTTAATAGTTAATAAAAATAGTTTAATAGTTAATCAAATCCATCATGTTTAATAGTTAATAAGACACCATTTTATGTTCATTCATTAATTTTCTTTTCAGCTGTAATCCATTATGGGAAACATCCATACACACTCATTCACACTATGGACAATTTAGCTTACCCAGTTCACTTATACCACATGTGTTTGGAATAGTGGTGGAAACCGCAGCACTCGAGGAACATGCAAACTCCACACATAAATGCCAACTGACCCAGCCGAGGCTCGAAACAGCGACCTTCTTGCTGTGAGGCGAACATGCTACTCACTGCGCCACCATGTCACCTCATATTATGTTGTATGTTTACACATTTTTACAAATAATATTTATAATATTTTATAAAGAAAACATCTATAGAAAACTCTTTCCCACAGTCCAAAGACACAATATAGGTGGATTAGATAAAGTAAATTAGGTGTACTGTGTGAATGCTGGGTGTTGGGTGAATGGGTGAATGCTGGGGTTTGTTGTGGCTGGAATGTAAAACAATTGCCAGAATAATTGGTGGCTAATTCCATTGTGGCAACCCCTGATAAACCAGGGAATATGTGATTTATAGCAGTGTCAGGTACCAGTTTGAGGGTAAAAAATTTGTATGAATTTCAATGCAACGTATTGAGTATACGTATTCATTTCCCCCCGCTTATTCAGATTTGGTATTAGGCTGGATCAGGTACCAAACAGGTTAACTGATCAGGTTCAGCTCAATTCTTTCCCAAGCTGTACATTTACATAGATGTCTTATAAGTGTTAAAGCGCCAATAAAGTGGTGTTATTTCAAAATATGGCAATGTCTTGGGACTATGAAGTCTGCCCAGTTTTCATGCTTTAGGACAGGGGCTTTCAAAGTGTAGGGGGGTTCTGTCCAGGGTACGCCAGCAGCATTGGACAATATGATAATATCAGTCAATAAACATTTTCTACCAAGCTCACCTGTAAATATATCCCTGCAGCACAGTACTCATAATGCATGTTAGAGCAGCAAAATAAAATGTAAAAAAGCAGGACAGCGTGTGAGAACTGAATTCAGTTTACTTTTTCAGTGTATTGCTATATATATAACTGTGTAATATGAAATATATGTAAATAGTTCATGACATACAAATTTCGATAGAAAATCAGAAAGTGGGGTGACAGAATGTACAGTCAGTGCTTTCTTTCTCTATGTATAAGCCTGACTTACACAGCTACCTTGCAGTCCTTTTCTTTCTATTGTCTATGCACTAAGAGAGAGAGAGAAAGAGAGAGAGAGAGAGAGAGAAAGAGAGAGAGAGAGAGAGAGAGAGAGAGAGAGAGAGAGAGAGAGAGAGAGAGAAAGAGAGAGTCAGGTCAGAGTACAGAACGTCCCAGGAGAAGACAGGGATTAACTACTTCACCATGGGGCATATCAGCAGTGGTCAGTGAAAGTGCTTCCCAGCTGAATTTCAGCCCAGATCTTTGCCATTTATATAGTCGGCTGTACCCGCCACAAACGCACTTGTGGCTAATGTAAGAATGTGTGTTGATTTGTAATGAGCTGGAAGCGTAGCTATAATATCTCAGTGTTATCAGATCATTTCATTCAGGCTGGGTCAGCAGTTAAAGGTTCACACTAGTTACAACTGGAGGAAGGCAAGCTTTATGTCTCTGCCCTTTTCCTGCTGCTGTTAGAAAATTGTTCCTGTCTTACCACTATAAACTACTGAGTAAAAAATATTGAGTTCTTATCGGATAGCCATTGAGGGACGGTAAACCTTACATACTGTACATTTGGCATAAATGAATTTATGATCAATCTATGATGCTTAATTCTATTCAGTGTCCACTTGTAGTGTACTTCAAGTTATAAAAGGATATGAAACTGTGCTTGCAGATGATATATTAATGATATAAAAGGGCACCTCTTTAAGTGCACTTAAAGAGTACATTTTCTTAGTCATTTCTAAATACAGTACTGTACATTTTTAAAAAGTGCACCATAACAATATAGAATTCAGCAGAACTTTACAATAAGGTTCTTTTGGTTAACATCACGTAAATATATTTACTTCTGAAAATACGTTTTAAGCATTTATTAACTGCTAAGTTAATATAATAAAACTTTCGATTGCAATAATATATAAGTAAATATTAACTGATCTACTACTAGCATGATCTAACCTTGCATGTTCATTAACTAACATTAACAAAGATTAATAAATGCTTATTACATAAAATGCATTGCTAGTTAATTCAATAACCAATGAACTGTACTGTAAAGTGTTAATAACAATTCAAGATAACACTTTATTTTGACGGTCCATTTGAGTATTGTGTAGACTCTGTGCTTATTATGTTTATACTGCTCCTTTAACAGACGTTCAACTGACTATAAGAAACTTTGCAAGAACATGTCAACTTACACTAACCCTAACCCCAACCCAACAGTCTACTTATAATCTAATGAGAATGTAGATGCAATGTAACTAACATTTAACAAAAGGACCATCAAAATAAAGTGACACAATTCAAATATTTTTCATACAATTGTATGTATAATTAAGATTATGTATAATACATGTATGTATAATACTGATATGTATAAAAAAATTAAAGGCACATTTGTAATGATAAAATTATCATTACAAATTAGCAATTTTAAATATATGTAAATGCACAAAATATTTTGACGAAAATTACATGATTTAAGTATATGTATACATGCTTGGCAATACATTCAGTACACTTTAACTGAAATTCATATAAAGGTGTAATTCCTACTTGGTTTAAAACACCTTTCAAGTGTGTTTAATTGTATTTGATATAAAATGTCATGTTTTGAAACCTTTAGATGTTCATATATTTTGTACATAATGTACAACCAAGTGTCTGAAATCTAGTGCCGAGTTCAGACTGCATGATTTTAGCCCCGATTTTGACTTGCAGACAGAAGCCTGAAGTCACAGCCAAATCGATGCTAGTTCACGTGAGTAACAATCACACAGTATGAACTATCTAAGACATGATCTGAGAGGATGGCCAATGAGTCGCTGATGCCTGTAAAATATTTGGCATGTTCAAAAATCTGAAATCAAATTCATGCCATGTGAAATGTGCAGATTAAAAATAACATCGGCGATCACCTACAGTACAGCCAATGAGCGGCCAGCGGGAGGTTGGGAAGAAGTTAAAAGGGCTTCTTTTCAGTCTATTTGAAATTTGGCAGGAGCACCCATGTCTGTTTGACATGTCATCTGAGCAATACCACAACCGGCTAAAGAAGAAAAAGGTGAGGATTTTGAGGTTATTATAAACTCCCTTCAAAGGCCAGGTGAGCAAATTAAGTACATTTTCTACCCCACTAAAGGATTTGTTCTTATTATGCAATTAATAACAAAAGATATACTATGTGACCTCGCCTTGTTTCCATGTCACCTCTCGCATGTGTTGGTTGTGAGATGTAGTTTGTGGACAGAGACAAAGTTGTGGGCGATTCCTCCTGTGTTTAAGCCATGCAGTGTGAAAACCCCCTTTCGTGCAGTGTAAACAGAGCAGCGATGAAACACTACCCCAGATAGTCATGCAGTGTGAAAAGATCTGTGACAGTTTTTTTGAAAATCGTGCAGTCTGAACTTAAATCATCTGTCATCATAGAATTAAATTGTTGAATTTTTTTTTTTTTTGAATAATTAAACTGTGAACATTTTGAATTTTTTTTAATTCATATGTCCTTGCAACCTTTGACAATTCTTTCTTGTCTGATAGTGTTTATTGGCAGGACAATCACATTAAATCTCTAAATTTGTTTCATGTCAACTATCATATTAATTTATATTTTTAAAGTAGTATTTAAAGCAGTGTTTCCCAGCCCTGTTCCAGAAGACACACTAACAGTACACATTTTCAACCTCTTTCTAATCAAAAACTCCGGAATCAAGGAATTAGAGGAGATTCCAAAACCTCAAATGAGTGGGTCAGGAGACATCCAAAATATGGTATGCCTTCAAGAACAGGGTTGGGAAACTTTGTGTTAAAGTGCACTTCATTTTTATCACAAGCACTGGTGCCCAAAGACTCAACTCAGTGTTTTCATTCAGAGAAGTGTCTTTACCTCCAGAGTGAACTCTCAGTCACGGTTCCCAAGTTAAAGTCGAACAGTTTTGTCAGAATCAGGATCACCTGAAAGAAAAAAAAAAACAAAAACACGCAGACATTTAACAAATCACCCAGCAATCTCCATTTACACATTTCCCCAGCTACAGCGCTCTTAATGTGCTACGCTAAATGATAAAATGTCTGTCAGGCAGCCTCGCAGTGATGGATGAGAGTAAATATCAGGTGTGAATTTTATTATCTTGAGATGACAGCAGAATAAGAGGCAATGCACTCAGAGCCCGGACAGCCTGATGGAGGTAATGATGATCAGGGGGAAGAGAAGAGAGGAAGAGAGGGGGGAAACAGAAAAAAAAAACATGCAACGGCATACACACATACCCTAAAACACAAGCGCGCTCAAGCTGTCAAATGTCACGCTGAAAACGTGACAGGTAAAACGTTTTGCTCTTCCCACCTGACAAAACATTCGGAGCACACTCTCATAAACAACAGCGAACAAACGAGCATCTGTCTTTCCACTGTGAGTTTTTACCAGGAAAAAAAAAAGACGAGGGATAAAGAGAGACTTTGAATCAAAAGCAGACAGTAAGTGGTCCCTTTGCGTCCGTGTCTGTGTGAGAAGAACACAGTCTTCAGTATCGCGTCCACACACTAATGAATATTAGTCTAAAAGGTCTAATATTTCATTTCACACTTCATGATTGTTCCCTAATGAGAGTTCAGTCAACAGGAGTGTCGTCATTAACCTAAAAAGAAATCAGAAAACAGGCACAGGCGGACGCAAACACAGCTGTAATAGGAAAACCCATCAGCAGTCGCTGACTTTACCGGGTCTTGTGTTTGCTTTATGTGTGTGCGTGCATGTGTGCAACCTTCACTTCTCACGGCTCCACCTGTGACGGGACGGCTTCATCTCGGGTTAATTAACCAATCAGAAGAGGACAAACTATTAGCATATCCAAATACAGCATATCTGAAAGAGCAGGACCCCAGTCAAACTCACTCAGCTTCCTGAACCAGCAAAACCACCGCGATACTGGAACTAATTACATCTCCTGAAAGCAGGAGCAAAAGGGAGAGAGCGAGAGAGCAGTGTCCATGGGGCTGAAAATGAATATTAATATCAAAGCGGAGGTTTCTATTGTCCGTTTCTATGAGGTCAATAATATGTGCAGGGATGTTATGCAGATCTAATTACATTTGCATATGAATGCTGGGTTTGATCAGTTCATGTTCAAGCTAAGATCAGATTCAGTTGAAACATGAATGACTTACTGTGTCATATTACAGTGGACGCGGCGAGGTCTGTTCAGCCGCTTTATTCTCCTAACCTCAAATACATGAAAAAGCTTCACCATTACACTCATCTTTTTGTTCCTCTATCTTTTGTTCTCTCTCAAATAAATGTTTCATTACATGCGAAACATGTCAACATTGTTGAAGACTCGACATTCCTGTCGTTTTGGGCCGCAGCTGGCGTGTTGTAAAATCCGTAGTACATGCTGAATCTCACATTTACGTAATTCCCATATCTATTTCATTTGCTTTATTGCATTTGCTTATGAAATATGATTATCTAAATTGCAGCGTGAAGTGTCGTGTATGGCCATTTTGTTGTGCTCTGCGTGATGCCATGGAAACAACTCCAGCTAGGACCAATCATTATCCACTGAAGGCTGCTCACTTGACAGTGACAACAAGTAGCAGTGAAATCAAAAACAATAAGCGCAGTAAGAACAGATGGCGTAGTACTACTAACACAGCTGATGTTTCTTCCACAGGAAGCTGACAATACTTTTTACAGCTCCTGAGACTGAAACGGCAAGACGCATCACTTTAGGAACTCGTTTTTTCTGAACTGATGTTTACTCTGTTGCCTAAGAGCATTCGAAAGCAGTGGGAATCACTCAGAAATGAACTGCATGTGTGTATATTTTCATATCGCAAAAACAACATGTTGAGAACAGCATGAGTTAGTTTTTTGTCCTCAACTCAATATAAACCACTTTTTTTGGCTTTGAAATTGATTGTTGTAATTCTTTGTTTTTAGGATAGCTCTCCTGCACCCCTACCCCTAAACCCCTTGAAGTCAATGGCTACTGAAATTGAGAGTAACAAAATACATAATACATACAGACAAAAACAATCGAATAATACCATGATTCTGACAATGCATTTAGGTTTTATAAAACCACACGATAAGTCTGTGTAAGAAATTTAACTTTATTTACAACTAGGCATGCACTAATGAGAAAAACCTGGAAGATACTGAGTATGTTTACATGGACACCAATAACCCGATTTTAATATGATTAAGACAATATCCTCAAGAGAATCAAGAGTCTACAATGTCAATATACTCCAATTGGTTAAGGTTTTTTTTTTTTTTTTTTTTTCACTCGCCGCTGTCACCACTAGCTTGCACGGTTTGGGATCAGTAAAGCTATGCATCGATTGATTTGCTGTTCAGTGTTTAGGCCCTCAGTAGTGACTATTAAACCACACTGAACTGAGCTAAACTAAACTGAACTTAAACACTAAAAACTGAACTACACTGTTTCAATTTACTATGATCTTTTATGTAAAGCTGCTTTGACGCAATCTACATTGTAAAAGCGCTATACAAATAAAGGTCAATTAAATTGAATTAAACAGCAATTTCTGATTAATCCGATTAAGCAACTTCTGTAAACACCTTAATCAAATTATTTTCTTATTCAGATTAGGTGGAAAAAAATCTCTACAAAAAATATCAGTTTGCAGAAAAGAATAGAAGTTCCCCATTTATCAGTGGCTATAAGGATTACATGCTTGTTTGTTGTAATAATTCTTAATAATGCCAAAAAATATATCAATTTGTGCATCTCCAGACTTGCATATGCAGCCATGTTGCCATTGTAGCTGGTGTATTCTGAGAAATTGTTTGTACCCCTTGGTTTCTAGTGTGGTCATGGAAAATCTCTGTTTTAAGGCTATCTAGTTAGTTAGCTAGTTAGTTAGTTAGTTAATAAGTTAACTTTATTTGTCCCCATAGGGAAGTTTCATTTACAGCATACACTCACAGTGACTTCTGACATTTCACATTTGGTGTATATAAATAAATAATTTAAAAACATGTTTCCCCTACTCTAAATATTCAATCTACTGGCCATCAACTGCTACTAAGGGAGGAGGAATTTAAAAACTTAATTGCTTGAGGGATAAAGGATATTTTTTTTCCTTACACATCTGGGAAAACAATATCGACGACCTGATGGTAACAATTGGACGGTGCTTGATAGGATGTCTCTCATCATTGACAATCATGATAGCTTTCTTAAGTACTCTTTCTTTATATATACTATCAATGCTCTTTAGTTTTATTCCCAACAACTTACTGGCTGTTGTTATCACCTTCCCCAGTGACCTCTTCTGGGCTTCAGAGGCATTTCCATACCAACAGATTACACAAAATGTTGCAACACTTTCAATAAAAGCACTATAAAACATGATCAACAATCTAGCCCTTCCCCTTAGCCCTACACCTTTAAGCTAAAGAGAATTGGGACAATTGGGTAAGGAAAAGAGCTAAGGGTAGAATTGTAATTGGGCCTAATGTCATTTCACTTCCTTTGCCCTCAATATATCATTAGGATTATTTTTATTTAGCATTCCCTGATATGCTTTTTTCCACTCTCAAAGTACCGGTAGCTATAGACTTGCATAAAGTGAAACATTTACAATTTCATTTAAATATCTTCTTTAATCTTCTACTGAAAAAAAAAATGTCATCTACATCTTGGATGGCCTCAGGGTGAGTAGATTACAGCTAATTTTAATATTTTGGTTGAGCTATCTCTTTAAAATCACACATGTAGTGTGCCTATTATGTCTATAACACTTTATTCTGGTGGCCTGTATTGAAAAAAAAAACATTTTAATTCTATTATTGGATTTAATCATTATGCAACAACATTTAACTGAATATTTAACAACTAATGCATGTGTGTGTTCTAGCCGTATCTAATAAAATCTGAAATCAATTCAGTTTAAGTCCTTTTCATTTATTGTAGCTAAAATAGAATGTAGCCAGTGGCCTGAATAACAATGATGCTTACTTTTTTGAGTCTTATTAGTCTTTTTAATCAGAAGTAAATCAGTAAAGAACAAGTGCCTGCAGAAGCCTTTGCAGAATAACATATAAATTGCAGGCTTAGTTATTAAAGAATTTGATTAATGCTTTTAGAAAACAATAAAAGTGCAGTCCTCTAAGCTCAATTTAACATGTTTTGCAATATTTTAATAAACTCATTAGAGCTCTGCAATTATAATATTTAACCTCTCATAAGTATGGAAAATATGAAAAATGTTTGCAGGTTTGACTCAGAGATACACAATAATATTATAATATTCTTATTATTCAAAGCAAGCACCTTTGAAAGCAACTCAGCAGCAATAATAAAAGAGTTTTTCCCTCCTGGATTACTGTTTTCCAAGAGCCTTCCCTACTAAAGTTATTCTGTTTTATTTATGTTGCTGTGGATCATGACATTTTGAAGACGACTCAAGGCTATTCTCAAAGTGGTCCATAAGCCTTTTAAAATCCACTCGTGGGAAATCATGATACACTTGTAAACTTCAGCTTTTAACTTTTTAAAAAATGAAATAATATATAGAGTGGGACAGGTTGACATTTTAAATCAATTTGTTGACTGAAAGTCTTACTTTCTCCATCTCTCTTTTATATCCATTATGTGGCATTCTTACTGTTGTCCTAAGAGAAGAATAAGGTCTATGAGATTTTCTAGTCTCCAGCCACAGAACATACGATATATTAACACACAGACTATGATTTATCTACATGAACCGGGTAGTATTGCTGCATCAATAACAATATTTTGGCTGAAGTCTAATAGCAGCCTCTGGCACCTCAACTAAACCAACATCTCAAGCAACAAATAACAGCCTTAGGCAACCAGTCATACGAAACCAAACTTGGACTGTCAAATAGATTCAAACTCAAACATTTGTGGCATCCAGTGTCAATAATTTATGATCAGAGTTAGGTGTAACGCGTTCCACATTAATGCGGTATTGTATTCTAATTACATTTTTAAAGAACGCAGTAATGTAACGGATTACATTTTCAATGTGTGTAGTTTGATTAC